TTCAGCCAAGTGTTGTATGGGCCTCGAGAGCCAATGCCAGAAAACGAGGTGGCAAACTGGGCCCAGGAGAAGCCAGCAAGTTGAATCACCTCCGCAGCGAAGGCATCCCGGAAGCTCCAGTCGTCTTCGGGCTCGGAATCTTGATCGGCATCCAGCTGAAGTTCATCATCCAGACTGTCCATTTCTGAGAAGATTCCAGGTGTATTGTGGGCAAGTGAGACAGCTAGGAGGGCCTCTGCAACCATAGCAGCGTCAGCCTGCTCCTTGTGAAGTGGTCTACGGGGCATAGCGACAAAACGAGCAAAGAGCGGCCCTCCCATCGATCGCGCTGCTCTCGCTGCGCTGCACGGGCTTGAAGCGGAGACCGAACCTGGCTGGGCAGGCGCCCTGTAGGCGCGCGAGCAACTGAGCGACCGACAAGAATTGAGCACCCCTTCTGGGTCATGCAGCCTGGAAGTCCTCTCCCCCTTGCGCTGCTCGCTATACGCTGCTCGCAAGAACTCCTGCCACCATTTTCCCCTGACTCTCGGTTGCGTTCAACCACATCCTGCTTCCTCTCACTTCGCCTCGAGACTTACTAGCGCCCTTCTGCGCTGCACTAAGGTCGTCCCTCTATGGTCGCTACACATCAGCTCTAGTAATCCGCCCTCGCATCGTCTCTTCCTGCTTGACTCGGAGTGGGCGATTCCCGCGAAGCAACGCCGCGAAGCGTTGTACAGCTGATATCTGTATGCGACTGTTGTGCTCTTTCGCAACGCACCGTACCTCCCGTCTCCTCGTCACGCTTGCCGCTACTAGCCGTACTCTCCCGTCTGGATGCCGCATCAGCAAGTCACCCAATGGCCGGTTACACAAGGGTCTGTGGGATCTGACTTTGCAACGAGTGGTGGAGGGTAAATGCCGGTATGGTGAGTCTTCTCTGCGTCTCTCTCATCCCTTATCCTTGTGTGGGCTGTCGCGGTGCCAGTTCGAGGACGCTCGACGTCGATGAAGGCACGTCTGTCGTATTTTTGGCCGGGAGATGAAGTAGCAGGTTCGAGTGGGCAGCCAAATCCGTCGGCTTGCCTTCGTGATTATGATTCGCTGCGAGGTGCCCGTCGATCGGATGTCCCATAGGAGGATGAGGCGACGTGTCACGGACTACTCCGTACATGCAATATGTATAATACCAATCTATTCATTCTTGAACTTGCCTCTGTGCGACGTCGACGATTGGTCGCGCTCACCCCTAGCTGAATGTACGCTTTCAAGTCCACGGGCCCTCATTGAAGCGCGACCGCGACGCATCGCACTGCCAGGGAAGTGCAACGCAGCTGCCACCGCCGTCCAGGAGATGTTTGAGCGGCAGAAACGAGCAGATGCGTACAAGGATCCCGCTGAACCTCGAGTTGTGTACGTCATACCCTACAGGTGATCACATAGCTTGATCTATGGTCACAAGGATACATGCGATGCTAGTCTATGAGTCAACAGAAGCTGATAGTACAGTGATTTGCATATCGATAGGCCCTTTCAAAATAAACATGCTCAGGTCGGTTAGGAGCCGAACCATATGCGAGCCCAAGCAGGTAGTCGGACGCTCCGAGACCCCACCGAGCAATGGCTCCCTCCAGCGTCTTAAGTGGCGGATCGGACTCGCATCTTGGTCGGCTCGTTAACGGACCTGAGCGTGTTTTTTGAAAAGGCCTATCGATATGCAACCCGCTGTAAACAAACATACAAATCACGAAGAACGAATCCCCAGAGAACGATCTGTCATACTCGTTCATCAATTCCTCCGTAACGCGGTCCGTCAACCTCATACACCGCCCTACCGCTCGCCATCAACCTCCTCGTCTGGCTTTGTGTCCGCTCCGCGCTCCTCTCCTTGGCGCGCCTCCAGCGGACCCGTAGTGCCATCCGAGTGCTGCATGGGATGAGGTGCGTCATCGTCAGGCTGAAGGACGTCGCCTTCGCTGGCCCTAACCTGGGCCCCGATGTCCTGCTCCTCCCCTTCGTCACCCGCTCCCGACCCCTCGGCCTGTGCTCCCTGCACCAGCTGGAGCGACGCGCTCGATTCGACTGGTAGCGTCTCAGTGACGATATCGACGCGTACGAAGTAATGCGACGGCGCTGCAAAGTCCAGGCCGAGCTTCACGATGAGCTTCTCCGTTGCGAGGGTGAAAGCGACCTCCTTCATGTCAAGCGACAGGATCCATAGACTTGATAACCCCAAAGTGAAATCCCGCCAAGTCACGGGGCTACGATCCGCCTCGATATCCCCAGCTCTGTCGGGAGCATGTCGCCGAATCTTCACATCGGCCTCGACATCCAACCACCGACCGTGTTCCTCCAGGGTATGCCGGTACTCGACGGCGATCGTGTGATCGTCGCAGGAAAGCGTGAGCCAGTGAGTGGTCGGGTGGCCCTCATCTGGACGTCGGAGTTCCGCTGTGTACCCTTGGGTGCGTAGAGCATCGCGAGTCTTCCTCCGCAGCAATAGGTTTATCGTCTTGTGTGGGTGACGGCGATAGGAGTGTGACTGTGTGCTGGCACGCTCCGGGCGGGAGATGTACACTGTTTTGAGCATGATGTGGTCATGCTCGCGACAGCGTTCGATGGTTTCCAGCGGAAGTGGGAGGAGGCTTACGTACTTTTCACGTTGCCACCCTGTTCCTGATGTGATACGCAGGTGTCCAGAGTGCAAATATTGAACATCCGACTCGGGGGGAGGGATGTGGCAGACCCGCCCGAGCAGGGCTCCAGGGTGCGCCGTAAGCTCACACCCGAGTATCGCCAGATACCACTGTCGTTCCGGAATCTTGAAGTACGGTTCCTCACTTTGAGGAAGACAGTGAACGAGTGGAATAAGGGGGAGCTGTGTCTCAATGCCGTGAGGAGTAGAGGTGTATCGGGTGGCCCGAAGATGGGGGAGCTGGAGACGACGTGAAACATCGCTATGAGACACCGCCCTAATATCGCCACTGTAGGCCCACATCTCTAGCTGCGTGGAAAAAAGAGACTTCTCCGATAATGAATGATCCCTGAGGAATCTTGCTAAAAATACATTAGACTCCCTGCATCTAATGTCGATGGCAGCCTGGAGCGACGGGCACTGAGCAAGGTCTTCCCGCGCGTCGAGATCGGCGTAGACGTGTCCCCACGCAAAGAGACTCTGGTCTGGTACTCGCTGCACTATCTCCTCCTGCAATCGGCGGAAGGCGTGATGGCCCTCACCATAGAGCGTCGGCATATTGATGTTGAAGATACCGAGAAGCGAGTACGCCCGATCTTCCACTCGTGTCGTCTTTCGTTTCGCAGCCCATGAGAGGCGTTGGGCCACGCTGAACTCGTCGAGCGACTTCTTGTGTAGTAGAGATTCGTCAGGGATACCAGTGATCTCTTCGACGAGGTCAACGAGGATGTGCTTGGTTCCGATGATGTTCCAGTCGTTCGAGAGGAACTTTACTTTCGAGGGCGAAATGAGCTCCTGGAGCGTCCACCCGCGCCTGAACCATCGGCTCGAACGGAATTTAGACTCCGGTGAACGAGGGTCATCGCCTGGAGGGACGTCGGCCAGGAAGGCGTAGCACTCCGTCGCATGGCCGTACCACTGGTACATCGAGTTTATCGACTCTGTCGACTCGGAGCTGCTCGTCTTGTCTATGCAGCATGAGTCGATCCAGAGGAAATTGTACCCGGCCTCACGTGCCACTCTGCATGCGTCTCGGATCTTCGGTGAGAGCTCAGGATCGTCCCAGATGCAGCATGGGGGCGTCTTCAATCGGTCTCCGTCGGCTGGACGAAGTAATGGATCTCGGAAACGCTCTACAATGCCAGTAGACATATGGGATTCTTCAGGGGATGGGGTGTGTTCTGGTGGACCCGAGGGTAGAAGTAGCTGGAGACAGGGAGGACGGAGGACTAGAAGGATAAATTGTCCGACTGTGTTCAAGCAGCGATGCACGCGCGCCCGTCGTGCGCCCATCATAGGATTGTCCTTGCGTGCGTTTCCACCTTCCGCAGGACGCGCGCGATGGAGAGGTGCAGCGCTCTCAACTGTGGACGATGGTGCGGGAACAGAAGGTGGGTGTACTGCTGGCGCATTGCAGGTATGTGAATGAACAAGGGAAGCGGTGAGGTCTGGGCTGACCTTCTGGGGAAGCGGTAGAACTTGACGGGGGGCTCTTATAGCCATGCAGTGGACACTGCGCTTTCAGATCGTACCGCTTCTGGATCTTCCTCAGCTCCTTGTACGACTGCTCCCCTTCTTTGTCCCAGGTATGCGACAGGATGGCATACTTTGTCGCCTTCGGATCTCGTTCGATGAACTCGCCAGTGCGCGTATCCAGAAAGCGCATTACGTCTCCTCTGCCCTGCCAACGGGGGCAAGTCAATGTGCGTCAGTGATATCCGAATGAAACTGAGGTAGGCGTACCCACAGATGGCTGTCTGTAATGGAGCAGTGTCGACGAACAATGCGGGGAGATGGGGGGGATGCGGAGATGCCTCGGTCAGAATGCGCGCGGGAATGAGAAGAGGACAGTAGTCAAGATCGACAAGCTCGTCTCCAGCTAAGCTCAAGCGGGGCGAGATACCTCAGCGGCGCGAAGAGGATCGCCGGCTAGGCACACGTGCAGACCGTGATGCTGATAGTGCGTTGTCTTCGAGCTTGCGTAATGAAGAGTCAACACTGTGCATTGTGTGAAACATACACACATGGACACACACATCCATGTAGCCGATGCAGAACAGATAACGAACTCATGTCGGTCGCCGATACATCGACCAGCAGCATTTGGGACAACACCTGAGCTTGAAGGTGCTAACGTGCATATCATATTATTGAGGTGATACTCACTATTACAGACACTTCCCGGAAGGCGACCAGCCCTGGAATTCGACGTCGTTGTGTCTGTCCCTATCCGACCTCCTTGTGTATACACAATACCCTGAGAAGAGATACGTATCAGCGACAATTTTCCCGCACGCAATCTATTGGGAGCGATCAGACTTACCTTCCAAACCGTGTGAGCAAGATAACACCTTCCCACCCAATACATATGTGTATGCGCTAGTCAGAAACACGTTTTACATGTTGCGCGCCCGCAAGACTGAAGGTGTGCTGTCTGTAATGCGCAGTGTGACCGCGCTGCCCAGTCCAGCCTGAGCTTCAGGCTGAGCTTCTTTCGTGCAAGGGTGAACACCTGCTTCGCGTCGAGCGACATCCACAGGCAAAGTACGGAGCATCATCCCACCATACCGCAGAGCTAGGATGCGCGTCGATCTCCCCAGCCGAGTCAGGAGCAACGCGCGGTATCTTCACGTAGGCCTCGACCGTCGGTTCCCGACCGTCATCCTCCAGGGTACGCTGGTGAGTTCTGATGAATCTGGAGGTAACATAGGTTGAAGGTACGGCCGAAGGACTAGCAGGATAGATTGCCGGACTGTGTTCAAGGAACGACGCCAGCGCGGCCGTGGTGCGATTGTCGTCGGAGAAATGTGTGCCTGTAAATCTGCTCCTTCCGCGGAATGTAGGTATCGATGCAGGGTAGTGTTCTCGTCTGCAGGCAATGCCGACGGAATTGCGGTCGGGTAACTCGGGTTCACCACCGGTGCACCGAAGGGACTTGCAGCAGGCAAGCTCAAGCGTCACCTGTAGCTTGCATGAAGAACGACGCTGGCACGACGCGTCGCATACATGAGCAAAAGTATCACCCTGCTGCCTTGCCGCCTGCTGACTCTCATGCGATGTCAACAGCGTCATCACTGAATTGATACTATTGACAGACCAACGCAGGCTGCCAATCGCCGCGGTCCTCGGGCATTTGTTCGGAAGCATCAGCATCAGTTCAACGCATACATATAGAGCCGAGAATCTGTATAGAAGGCCGCGTTTGGATGCTCCCGCCAGACCTCTTGCCACATATCCAGTCCCTAGAGATACACGGGTATTAGCTGCTACGCACCAACGCCGCACAAGATGACCAGTCATTCTTACCTTCCCGCGCCTGCGTGAGCTCAAGGAAGTCCTTGTCCTCAAGCTTCACATCGCAGATAATGCACTGCTTCTCAGGTATTAAGAGTGTATCGATGCAGGTTTTGCAAGGTACGTGTCCGCAAGGTTTCATCACTATCCGCGCGCCTGTCAGTTGATATGAACAAAGGCAGGACACAATGAAGACATACGATGCATGAGAGTGTTGTTGGGCAGCTGCTGTTTGCACTACGTACATAGGGAGTGATGTCTTGGACTGCGGTTCATGAGTCTTGCCCCTCTCCGTTGTGGGTATAGACTGTACTGACTTCGCGGAAACACCGCTGGACGTCCTGTCGAAGGACCGTCCCACCGCGGTCAGGTGTTCCCGCCTACATGCTCCTTCGGTCGTCAGTTTATAGAGCATGATTTATGCTCATGGTACGTACATGAGTGGATGAGCTGGGTTTCCACCATGACGTGTTGTTTGTAGCTTCACGTCCCAGAGTGAAGTAGGCGGGCCGCTGGACGTGTACGTCGGCGTAAGCGACGACAGCCAGAAGTCGGGCGGTTTGCGCTTCAGAGCCTCGGCTTGTTCGCGCTCGATCTGCCGGAGAGCGTCTTTCTCAGCGGAGCGAGCGAGCCTCTCCACTGCACTCGTGTCGAAGTCAAACTTGTGGTTTGTGCCTCGTGCTGGGCCAAATTGTTCAGCATATCGTATCACGCAAAGCAAGGGACAGTCAGACGATATGCATATAAGACACGCCTTCCGAAGATTCGGATTTGCTAGAGGACGTCGGCACGATGGATGTTGCTGCCAAGCCAAGCTGATATTCCTCGAACTCGCGCAATACACGCTCCCTCGCGGCCTCTCGTGCGCGTTTTCGCTCCTCCTTCGGTTCCTTCGTCAGTGCCTCTGGATGGACCTTCTTCCTTTCGACGTCGCCGATGTGAGTTGATCAGCATGTCATAGGGCGTCAGCAGGCCACCACGATCGCAAGTGCGCCAACATTGCAGGAGGATGTAGACATCGGTACGCCGGGACGACAAGAGCACTCCGAATGGAAATCAAGCGCACCTGTGTCCATCAACACAGTCTCTGCAAGATAGGTTCCCGTTCCCGCACGCCACGGGGTCGCCCGCGCTGCAGGCCGAGTGCGCATGCGAAGACCCTGTGAAAGCGTTGAGCCGTCTACAATCCTTGACGCGGAGGGTACCGACTCACCTTGTACGTAGATATTGAAGAGTGGGTACGCAAAAGTGTAGTGCCAATCATGCCGCATGCCCGTAATTGAGTGATAAGAGCTCGCAGGCAAGGTTCTTGTCAGCGGCGGACGCACTCTGAGCTGACCGTGATGGACAGCGATCGGGTAGTAGTACAGCCATTCTGTCTCTCCGTCATGCGGCCTTGACATCTCCCCGTCGTTCCTCCCCCTTGCGCTGCCCGCTATACGCTACAGCTGGTTGCGAAAATTATGCCCGACCAACTCCGACGCAGTTTCGACCACGGAAAAATCGAAAAAATCGAAAAAATCAAACAATTCATGCACTCGCGATTCTGCTCCCCTGTGTTCTATAAACTTTCCATAACCCCTATAGCAGCGAGTACGAGACCTCACGAACTTGAGTGGAGAGCGTAGGACTCCTGGTTCCCGACTTGTGCCCTTCGAGGGAAATCACTAGAAGCTCCCTATGGGCGATGAGGTTTCTCGCTCAGGCCGCCGCATCTGCGCACCGCCTTGCAACGTCACTTATGAAAGTATATGGCTCATTTAGAGTAGGTTTTGTGGGTTTATAGGAAGATGTTACACATTCTCAGCCAGAGCAGTAGGCAGTCTGCCTCCTGGCTCTTGCCAGCGCATCAAGCGCCGGAAGAGGTTCAGACATCGG